CGAGAACACAAGTAGAGAACGATCACAAGACCAAGAAAGAGAAAGAGATAAGAATATTGACTATACATTCTACGACATTCGTCAGTCAAACGCGTAATCAAAAAGAAAGAAACAGAACATCGATATCGGTAGAGTTTTTATGTGTCTACACTTGTTAGCACTTCAAGCCAGTCAAAATATACGAATGAGAAAGAGAAGAATCATACAAAAATGAGACTTAAAAATTACAGTCGAAAAAACAAAGAGAAAGACATATAGAGGAAATTCTTTTATAACATGTACTCGAATCGTGTGCAACTCGATCGTAACTCTTTGATCATTTTCCGTCTCACGACAGTTTGCGTGAAAACTTCGATTATTTTGCGAACAGTTCTGGAATACAGCTTGAATAGAACTTGAATTTAGTATGGATATGAGCAGAACTCATTTTTTTCATTCTGGCTTCCGGCTTGCAATGAAAAAATCGATACTCTTTAGAGTCTGATCAATAGATTGATTAAGAGTTCAAAATAAATTTCTGACGATATGCAACTCAAAATAAATTCTATGTTTGAATATAAGTATTTATGTGATAAAGAAAGAATTTTGTTTTTTTTTCCTTAGTCATTTATTTATTTGTAATAAATGGGATATTTGACTTTTTCTGTTGGAACCCTGTGATCATCGTTAGTTTTTCCATGATTTTACACAAATATTAGCAAATTTAATTAATAAAAATACTAATCATGCATCTTTTCTGTCTTAACTATCATCACATTTGAGATTGGTTTCATGATAAAAATTTTAAATAAACTATAGTTGTGGGTTGAAAAGAAGAACAACACCCATACCTACACCCACACCCATAATATTTGTCGATCTTTGAAAGATTTGCACAAATAACCAGTGTATGGTAGTTAGAAGATATATCGTTGTTAGTTAAAGTCGAAGTAGCTGTTGCCATTCTTGTATGCGTCAATGTTTTTAGTAATCTACAAAAATAGTCACATATGATGTAGAGCAGAGATGTCCACAGGGCAGGGCTGCCCTGCCCTGCCCTGCCCTGGTGCCCTGCCCTGATACAGGGCAGGGCGTTTTTAAAATTTTCGCCCTGCCCTGTATCAGGGCAGGGCTGGACAGGGTAGCAGGGCAGGGCAGGGCAGGACAACGCCTTGGTGCCCTGGTAATTTCACATGCTACTGTTTTTTCTAAAAAAAAGATGTTTTTATTCGCTTCGAACTTCTGGTAGATGCATATTTCAATGAAAATACTTGTAATAAAAAAGAACAACAATGAAGTCATAAGAACAGAATTTCATACAGCAGAATAGGTTTTAAATCAACGAAGAACAAATCTGAAGCCAGAGGTAGTTAACAAATTTCTGTTTGTCAGATCAATCGAAAATAATCAGAAAAAAATGAACTACCACTTTTCTTTGCTAATTTTTGTTATTTAATTGTGGTTTATTCCTCTATATTGTTAAACGTGTTTTTATTTTCGTTTATTACTTGGACAAAAATATCAGTAGAAGGATTTATATTTCCCACTCTTTTTTTTCGAACTTTAATCATCATTTTCTTCGTGTATATGATCACTACAGGCTCTGCTCTGTACTATAGGAAGTAAATCAATAGACCTGCTCTGACATGAATGCAAGTAGTAGGTTTTCATTGGATCCTAATAATACGAAGATACTGAATTAAAATATTCACTATGCCCTGCGCCCTGCCCTGCCCTGCCCTGCCCTGTCCTGCAGGGCAGGGCAGGGCACAAATTTTTTTGACATACTTTCTTTTTTCAGGGCAGGGCAGAACAGGGCAGGGCGTCAGGGCAGGGCAGGGCCGGGAAAAGCGCCCTGTGGACATCTCTGATGTAGAGTAAGAGAAGAAAAAAACTACACGATTGTTGTGTGTAAAAACTAATAAAAAAGGAACAAAAAAAAAGTAAAAAACTAATACTTAAGTCACAAATATGACCAAGAGTAGTTGCATTCACGAGTGAGTATTTCATAACTTTTAGGTAGAGTTGATTCGCATAGTAATTAATACAACATACGAATTGGAAAGAAAATGTGAAGTAGTCATTGTAAAATATGTAACTATGTACAAAGTACATGAAAAAAATTAAAATTCCTAGTGTAAGGAAATAGAACTCTTTCATCAATCTAATATATGTAAATTGAAACATTTATGTCCTTCAAATAATAGAATACAACTTAGCCTATATGAACAACTTGTTGTTCACGATCTTACGAACTATTTTTCAGAAAAATCTATGTAGAACAAACAGTCCATCTTGGCAATCATAATATTTTGTTAGTTTTGTTTTGGTTTATTCTTTTAAATAAGTCATAGATAATTTTCGATATGATTTTTGAGATATCAACTGGAGAGATTTAACGATGATTTTATAAAATTGAAAAATCATTTGAGGATGCGTATGAGAGAGTAAGCCATATTGATTGGTACTAGTCTCAATAAGTTTCGTTATTTTCAATGAAAACAGATCAATATGAAAATTGATGACTATTTTTCTCAGATTTCGCCTACATTTAATAAGAAAAACAATTGATATTGCCTGAGTAATGGCTGAAATGAGTCTTTAACATGCATACGGGTAGAATAGATACAACATAGACTTCCATTCATCATTGTTCTTTTTAATTATAAATAGTTTCGTAAAAATCATCTCTTGATGTCTCATTGTATCAGTTGGTCGAAGTTCAGAACCACATTTGTGTTATAATTAATGATAAGTTGTAGTTCTCTATGAATGCGGTATAAAAATAATAGAGTAATCAACAAGTTGAATATTTAGAAGATAAATCTTTACTAGCTCAAATTTAGTGGAATACAAACTTAGACTAACTACTAGTGATTACGTTTGCCATGAATTCTAAGCTAACAGAGTTCACATCATTTGTTTCTGGTAAAGTAATTAATATGAGCTTTTCTTACTTTTTTTTTGCGATGTCAATAAGACATCACATGATGATCAACCTACAAAATCATTTTTTTTATAGATAATCTTGTGAAACTATATTCAAGCACAACATCTTTAGGTTGAAGTTTATATGACTTGTTTCTATTTTCAAGATGAAAACCCATGTACATCGAGCTCAAATAACGATAGACAAAACAACATTACAAGCATTGAAATAAGTCATCCGCAATCTTATAGAAGTTTTTTTTTGAAAAAATAAACGAGTTTCGACAATTGATATGTTACAATGTACAGATTTATTCATGTTAGGAGATGATAGTATCATAAATAATTTGTACTTGATGTGATTAAACTTGATAGTTGAACCATCTAATTGAATATGTGACTTGGATGAATATATCATTCACACACTGTTATTTGACAATATGCCAGTACTATTTACAGAGATTATTTGCAATAGATTCTATCTCTACAGTTTAATTCTATAGACGAGAAAAACATTGACACACCATATGTTTGATCTTCTTTTTACATTTATTGAATTATGAAAGAATCAACTTATTGTTCGATGAAATCAAGATTTTCGCAGGATGTAAAAATATCATGTTATCAAAAATTTCGCTTCTGGAAAATCACTATTATACTTGAATCAGCATCATATATTTTAGAGACACCGAGACTGTTAAGTTGTTAGGAACTTGAAATACACCAAAGATCAATTATCCATGATCAATGAATGTATCGAACATGAATAACTAATGTTGTGTTTCATAGAAGTTTTACATATGAATTTCTATTTAGATATTTGATGACACGATCATTGAATTATTTTCGTAAAGAATCATTACTATACGTCTTACTGAATTTTTGTTGTTTCAAAATTATAAAAAAAATGTGCTTGTAAATGTTAGTATTATAGATCAATTTTTTTTATTAGTTACTTCGACTGCAGTATTCATATTGAGAAAGTGAGTACTATCTTTTTCGAAACCGTTAGGTATTATCTTGGAATCAGTGTATTACTCGTTCGCATCAACAGAAATCATGCTACGATATGTTTCTATGAACTTGATGAGTATATTCTTGATTTAATGACGAAGTATTTATCAATTATATCATATCAATATTATTCTTTTTACTGCATTTATTTGTTGCTTAATGTTAGATTTTAATTTATAGATAAGATAGAAGAGAGAAGTATTCTTAAAGAAGATTGAATATGATTAACTCTCATCAATTGTCGATTCTCACTTCATTGCGTGTATGTATGAATTTTAGATGCCAAAACTTTGTAAATCATGAAAATTAATTAGTCTTAGTTCGTCTGACATTTTGATGATTGATGGCATTCCAAAGTCGTCAAAAATGGTTAGAATTAGTTCGACTACAACTTGATTAATATCGATATTGTTGAACACACTTTAGTCTTTAGCATAGAAATTAGGTGGATATTGACGACAAATTTCGTCTTACGAAAAGAAAGTCACACGAAATAGAAAAGTTTGTAATCATATCAAAGTCATTATTTTAAATATTGTTGTACATTCGAAACCAAAGAAGTCCAATGATAGCTCCTATAATGATATGCAAGCCAGAAACAATTACTTTAGTTCCGATGTTTAATTCGGCAGCGAAGCCAGATAAAACCTTGGGAAGAACATTGTTAATTGCATTGTATGTTAATCTTTTCCATTCATCTGCTTGTGGATAAAAGTATTCCAGCGTTTTCGAAATGATATCTTTACAAAATGGATCAGTTATATTGCTATAAATACGGCAATACAAGCGTAGTATAAACATTGCGTTTGTTTCCATGGTCAAATTGTATGTACCAGCTTCCCAAAAACCTCTTATAACACGTCTTGCTCCTGTTCTAACTTTAATAGTACTGTACGGTACCTGACCACCTGGAGGAAGGCCAAGATCATAAGGCAACATTAGAGCATTCGGTGCCCATCGCTTGAATGCAACTTCTGACTCGTTATCAATGGGAACAAATGACCAGGTACCGTATGGACCGACTGCAGTGTGCCAATCAAACAAAAGAATATCAGTTGCATAAGGAAAATATTTGTCGACAACATACTCTTCAGTTTGACTCGACCATGATTTTGATGGTCCGAAATATGCAATGCCTTGAGGCCGCTTTCCCTGTCCTGTTTTTAGAGCTAAGTTAACAGCGTCTTCACCGTAATCGGCAATCAGTTGAGCAAAGGATGCAAATACGTTCTGTTGAGTAGAAATATTTCCCAAGTTGGGTAAATCAATTTGATCGATAAATTGTTGAAGGATAGGATTGTCATAATTGAGTGTATAATACATAGCTTCGTTCTTTAATTGATCAGCATTTTGTTCATTTTCTTTGAGAATATATGAAGCACCATACGGATTAATCAGATGCAAATGAACCATACGAACATTTGGTGGAAACATCGATGCGTTTCCACGAAGCATACTGATCTGAGCCATGGATCCCACATAGCCTTCCACACCATGTGTACCCGAAATAGTGTAGACAACAGCACGTTTTCGTACGTCTCCTACTGCACATACCGTTGCTTGCAACTGTTCTTCATACACACCTTTTTCTGGATGGTTAATGTATTCGATAGATCCATTTGCATAACTGCAGGCGGCTACAAATTTTCTTGTTGCTTCTGTCACATTATTCGAATAGTAATAGTTGTCAGCTTCCGGAGTGTGAGCTACCTGATCGATAACAAATATGCAGTAACTACTAAGATGCTGAAGAGAAATTGTTGAAAGAGAGAAATGATGTGATACGTCTTGTAATTACAACTGAATACAGCTCTGTCTACTACTACATCAGTTTGACATATGATCGGATTCATCAATAAGTAACATAAAACCTTTCAAAATCGTGCACAATATTTGCATTACTCATCATTGTGCGACGATAAAACAGAGGGATTATGATTCGATTGATGTTTGTGGTAGGAAAGACGAATGTTGCAGCTGAAACTATGTTGCGATAAAACACGTCGATAATCAGAAAGAAAAAAAATATTTAGAGGCTATGTGTCACCGTAATTTTATGTTCATCTTAGCTCTCTCCGAGTTAATGTCAGACAACTGATCTTTACACATTGAACGAGCACAAGAATAAACTATTCCGTCACTCGACATCTCCACTGAATTCAAAAGAACTCTCTTGTATGCTGATCTGCTCACAAATGCATGAACAAGTAACAATTAGTTGAGATTAATCATCAAATAAGTCGGATGATCGCTGAGCTTCACGAATGTATTAGGCATATGTATGAGAGTTTGGTATTTTCGAGTGAGTCGGTGTATCGTATGGCTGCTGGTTAAGGTTCATAGATGACCAAAACCAACAAACACACACAGCCATAGTCATAACCACAACTACCCACATGCACACCAATAAAAGACAATCATTGGCACAAAAAGAAGAGACAACTGGTGAAACAGTTTGAACTTTAGACCCCAATGGTGAATGACGAGATATTCCATGTAATCTTAGTATTGGTAATACATGATTCGAAGACTTTCCGAAGTTGTTCAGCAACATGAATATCAACACTTATTCATGGAGAAATAAATGCACATTGACTATTGCTCGAGCAAGCGAGACTTTTAATCAACGATCGACTTGGTGAATGATCAAGATCTAATGAAAAGATTCTTGATGATGGGTGTGGGTATCACTGCCAATTAGAAAAGGATCCATACCCATTTAAGATAACACAAACTTTAGTGATATGCAATCAAACTTGAATTGAGGGTATGTGTCTTTCATAAGCCGCCTGTGATGCAGCAGGAATGTTAACAATGTAATGATTAAGAGAGATCAAAGACATTCATCAATTGCTTGAGATTGTAACGAATAAAAATGTCACAGCATTAGTTTTCTTTACGCTTCATGACTCACTCACGGTTATGATCAATGATAGGTAATAATTGAATTGTTCAATATTCATGCCATAGAGAGTAGGACACATGCATCTCATTTGAACTGCCACTTCTGTCGACAAATAATCAGATTATGTCTATGAAGATTTCACTGAAATCTACTCAATGATGAAACTTGTCGTTTATCGAGATCCATCTTGTCTTTTCTTCCTAGATGAAGGGAAAAGATAACTATTCTGATAGACTGGTGAACGGTCAAATTTAATTTGAAAATGTTTTTAATGAGTGATTGATCGATTCAAAGATATTTAAAAATTATTGAAATGCTTTAGCAAAAAGAGATCGGATGATTATTCGCTTTGAAGTAGCCTCTTTTTCCTAGCCATCTGATACCAATTTCTGCCACATTTAGAGTGAAGATTCCACTCTCTTACCTTCTTTTTTCAAGAATATTTTTTCATGTATATGTCTTTCTGCAAAACTGGAAAACCAGAATTTTTTGTTTCAAATGAATTTCAGAAAATTATATTTTGTTATTTCCACGACTTTGTATTGCGTTATTGTTTGATTTGAATGTTGATTTGACGTATGAAATTTGAAAACATGAAGCATCTATTGATACTAAACATAATAGGACGATACCTGGTAGACCATCAAAAATGGACCTAACAGTATTTTGCACATTTCTCATTATCATTACAATGGGATCGCGATAAACTTTTACCAAAAGATTCATCGTTTGATTCTCTACAATATTGGGCCAATTATCTCACCTTAATGGTATCACTTAGCATTTCCGGTAGTATTAAACTGACTAGTTTCTTTCCAGAGCGTGTAACTTTCGAAGAAAATTATTTAACCAATATTTTACACTAGTGTTTCTTTCAATAGTATTTTGTTTGGGCTCATATTCACACGAGTCCAGATCTAAAAGAGTACTCAGATAGATTGAAAGCTGAATTATTTGTGTTTCAATGTTTACGATAGACAATATAGAAAAAACTGTTCTCATCACTATTGTCTGATATCGTGATTATATCTCACTCTGAACTTCCATACGGTTGTCACTATTTCTTGAAAGTACAGAATATAATCGACTTTTCCCTGTGAATTATCAAAAGGGTAAGAAAGTCGAAATTAAATTGTCGTCTCGATTTCAGACAATAGTTATGTGAATAATGGTTTCTCCTGTGGTACTAATTGTGAACATTAACACATAAATAGTTCAATTGTCGATCTTTCGGAATACTTTGTTAGAGCTGGACTCATGTGACTATGAATCAAAGTACAACACTATTGAAAGAAATACCAAGGTGAATAACTGAAAAATGTTATGTAAAATGCTGAGTGAGCGCTTCTTTACAGTGTATCCAATATTTTGTTGCGCCTTCAACATGTTTTACGTATTGAAAAAAACTGAAATTTTACAGGAAAATATGCATTATTGCATCTAGAATTTTTTATTCAGTTTTAAATTTCAGTATAGCTCTTATTCACAATTTTCTTCGTTCTTTCAACATCGCATATGGGTGATCGACCAGAGGACAAGCATTCAATTTTTGCGAAAGAAAAATAAAGTTGGCAATTCCTGAGAAAAACAATGCATTTTCAGTTAAAAGAACTGAAACTTAGATTGAAGCAGACGACCTGAGACGTACGCTGACAGCAGAAACAAAATGGGCCAACTCGTGAGTCTGTCTCATTATGATTCATAAAACGATATCGAGTCAGGTTTTTTTTCTTCCTTTTTTGGCTTTTCTGTTCGCTTCCATTGTGCGTCACGATAAGGTTCTCATAGTGCAAACGTGAATCACTGGTTAGATTTACTATCAAATAAAAAATAAACACAGTCAAATAAAACAACACAAACAATTTTCTTATGATATTCAGAATATATCTAATTAAAAGAGTTATTTCTTCTCGATTGATTATTATACCATTGTACACCACATTTTGGATCCGTACAACTCTGAGCAATAGCAATTTATAGTCACAGAAGTTGAAAATGAAAGTGAAAAGAACTGAAAATGTTGGAAAAATATCCAAGTTGATTTCATTTGGATATTTCCAACTGCTATCTAAAGAAAAAAAAAGAACGAAATATGATTAATCATGTGCTGCGCATTTATATAGAAGTGAGGACAAGTTTCTTTTCATCTTAAACGCATTTGAAAACAACCATGTTGCACTGTTATTGGCAAATGAAATTGATTTGATACTACATTTATTTCCTTTTCTTTTCTAAATTCACTTCATCAACTGAAAACATACGTTTAGGATTAAAACGATAATCAATTATTATCTTCGAGTGTTGAAAATAGATCTCCAATGAATGATCATATTGATGAATCATCTACAACGACGAAAACATTTCGTTTTGGTTCAGGTCAACTTTTAACATTGAATGAATATCAAATTGAAAAAATTCCATATTTGACTGCATTAGTCTCTGCTGGATCTAGTTTTGATTCA